GTTCCATCCGCTGTCCGAGCAGGAACTAAGACCTGCGCATACCCCGGTGGAGCAGCTCCTGACACGTATTGCGCCTGGGCCTGCGGAACTTGTTGAAGTTGTGGAATTGATGCCCCGAACGCATGCGACATCGGCGGTGGCAGAATTGGTGGCTGCTGGCTCATGCTGAAAGACTGTACCATGGTACCAGTTGCCGTTGATTGCGTTGATTGTGGTTGCGCCTGTTGTGGTTGCGCCTGTTGTGGTTGCGGTGGCGGCGGCGGTGGTGGCGGCTGCTGTGGCTGCTGTAGCTGTTGTGGCTGTTGTGGCTGTTGTGGCTGTTGTGGCTGTTGTGGCTGTTGTGGCTGCGGTTGCAGCATCACTGGCCGTGCTTGTAAACCAGCAGGAAACCCACCCGCTGCAATCGTCTGGGCATCCGCAGCATACGCTGCAAACGGCAACTGAGACGGCTGAAGTGTAGGAGGAACGGCACGGAGATTTTGTACAGGAGTACCTAGTGGCATCGACGCCACTCCAAGAGGTTGCTTTGTCTGCGCGACGTTTGCCCACCCGTAGGGTGGAGGGCATTCCTTCTGGTGCAAATACGGCGGCAACGGCTTGGGAACAGTGTCAGGTATCAGCGTCGGGGCCGCCTTCAAACTGCTAGCTTCACCAGGAAGCCCCGACGCGACAGAGGCCGGTCCCGGCAACGGGGCCGTGGAATTTTCGTTTGAATTCTGAGTGGGTGTCTGTGCACCACTTGAGGTCAATTGTTGACGTCCGCGGGAGGGACTGCTAGAAAAACTTCGACCCTCCATCGGTTCAACCTCATGTGACGTCCTTCGTGCGTTGAGAGGCGATGTGCCAACTGCCCTTGACTCCTTCGCTGCGTTCCGCTGCCGAAGTTCTGTGGCACCATTCGCGCTGCCATCACTCGGCGTGATGCCTGCCGTCGAGCTCAAAAGGGGTGGAGGAGGAACAAGATCTGGCTTGTTCGCCTCCTCCTCCTCCTCATCCATAAACTTAAATTGCCGCTGAAAATCTTCTGTGATGCGGCGAAGCTCGACGTCATCCTCCTGCTGCGGGCGGAAGAGTCTCTCATAATCAAAGTCACACATGGCTCTCTACTGCCGCGTGCACGAAAGGAATGTGACAATAAATTTGTGTATCGGCTCCTCCGAGTAGTGGTCTTTGTTCTGCACGTTGAGTGATTGAGGCTAATCTCTGTTCTTTGCGATTTTCTTTTTGTTGTGTGTGTGTGTATTTATATATATATATATATATATAAATATAAATATATATATTCCGCTGTTGTTGTTACTGTTGCTGCTGAAGACGGACACGCACGTACAGTCTCCTTTGCGGCTCGCCTTTGAATTATGTGGTATAAATATTGGCCTCACACCCTTCGCTGTTATTGTCACCTCTCTTTGCGGCCGTGTATTGTATATCCGGGTGGACTTGGTTGCGTGTTCCTGTTGCTTCCGGTAACTCCTCTCTCCGCTCCCCCTCACTCTGATTCGCTTCCTTTGTGAGCCTGGACCTACGCCTCTTATTTCCCTCTTGATGATGTTTCTCGCGCGCTGAGAATTAGCGGCCTCTACCTTTGGTCTCCTGTCGCCTCCCTTCCAATGATGCTAGGACCTGCGTGAAGGCGAGTGGTGTGTGTGTGCGTGTTCCAATGATAGCTCAAACGCGTCTGTGTATGCGCGTTGAGAATCCCTCCGACTTTGCTTCCGCTGCGGTTCCTTCGCTTACTCTGCCGTCTGTGCGTTGGAGGTATTTTTTCTTCTTGCTTGTTTGCTTGCCTTTTCGCCCTTTTCCCCTCCCCGTCAGATGCGTCCTGTTACCTACTTCTCCCTTTGCGGGTTTCTTTTTCCTTATTTTTCTTCTTTCTTTCTTGCTTTGGTTGCTTTATTTTATTTCCGTCGGCTCACACTGTCGTCCTATAACAATAACTCTGAATGCGATCGGGTCTTCTCCCCACTGTGGCGTGAGTAGCTTCCCCTACTTGCAATGACTGACAGTCCAGCGAGGGAGAGAGAGAGAGAGAAAAAAAAAAAAGAGGAAGCGGGAGAAAGCGTCAATTCAAAGCAGCGTGCAGCGGCAAAGACGAAGCCCCTGGTTGGTGGTGCCCACCTGCAGCGGCACCCCTCTTCCCGGTTCACGCGATGCAGCGTCAGTCGCTGCACAGCGGATGGGGGGAAAAAAAACGGGAAGGCACGTGCAAAAGAGTCAATTTTCTCTCTTTCTCTATTAGATTACTTCTGTCCTTTGCCTTGCACCCAAATTACTGCACGCACTCTGATGTGGGGGGTGGGGCGGGGGAGGAGGACAAAAAAAACAAGGGAAAAAAACAAGGACTAAAAGGAAGGCCTAGAAAAACTTCCATCCCCGCCCGGCGGGCAGACTGCGGGCTAGTCAAGCTCAGGAAACGGTGGGGCGTCTGCGTCCGTGATGGCGTACATGCGCACAAGTGATGTGTACCCTTCCACGTCTCCGGCCCGCAGCAAATTACCTGCATCGCAGTTGTAGGGGTTGTTTGGCTCCGGCTCGGCTAACAAATTCAAAATAGCGCGGCACACACTGTTCAGCGTCCATGCCGGAGACCAGCGACTCTTCAGAATGTCAAGGCAAACGGCACCAGTATCAAAGTTCACATTGGGATGGAACACTTTCGTTACAAAGGTTGCTCTGGGGGGGAGCATTGGGTAGTCCTGCGGCACGCGGAGAAGCAAATGATATTTCCCTCCCTCAAATGGCGTGTCGGGTGGGCCACGGAGAATCGCCTCCCACGTAAAGAGACTGTTGGTATGCAGCAGATGCAGGTCCACGTCGCTCTCCGGGTTTAGGGTAGCCTCCCGCAGCTCGTTGCTGAGACGCTTCAAGGCGCTTGGCATCCTCTACGCCTATTCCTTCCTTCCTTCCTATGCTTGTTGTTTGTATCCGTGCAACTCGTCCCTACGCTTCACTACCACAACCACCTGCAGTAGTAGAGCAGAAGAAGTGGTGGGAGACACGGAGGAGTGAACACGCCATACATATAGCAAGAGAAGGGAGAGACGGCAAAATCTTTTTTTTTTTTTCACGAACCGCCGCACAAGACGCAGCGTCCCCCTAATCCTCCACCCCCAAACACCATGGGGCAACGCATTTACACACACAACCACGCACCACCTCCAGTAGCCGCAACCGCCGGTATAATAGCGCTCCTTTTTTGCCCACGTCTGACTCTTCGCTGCGGCAAAAGTGACGTAGAGAGTTACACACATATACACAAACATACGCACGCAAGCGAACCCAAAATGACGGTGAGGGAACACCGTCACAGGCACAACTGACACAAAATAAAACAGGTCACTCTGCTCTCGTCATCCTCCAACGCGGTATCGTTGGAGTACAACAAGCCAGGTGGCGGTCAACAAGGCCGGGGAGGTGCATGGTACGCCCCGTCAGCTTTCATGGTTTCCCCTTGTCGTACATTTCTTCCATCATGTTTCAAATAAATTATGCAAAAAACAACCATCACTACCAAAAGACAAATGAATTAAAATGCGGTTTGAATGTAACACATATGTGCATATACATTGCATAGGTGAAAAAAAAAAAAGTTTCATACAAGAGCTCGCGTTTACAGAACAATAGGTCGACTCTCTATTGGCCCTCACTTCCTTCATTGCGTGTTTGTGTCTCGTTCATTTTGCTTGCACCAACGCATCCTTCGCAGGGGCACCACAATACTGCCTTACGAGATTCTCCACCTCCTCGCTAAGCCGCATGCACAGCTCAGCATCGCTTGTCTCAGCGTAGACACGAACCAGCGGTTCCGTGCCGCTCGGTCGCACAAATGCTCTCGCCACTGATTTTGCCGCCGAAGCCGTGGCAGTCACCGCTGCATCTATCGCCTCCTGCAGCCCCAGCGGGGTCAGTACCCGCCGTTCATCGGGGGTGTTGGTTATTACTTTTGGATTGGGCACTGTAACCTTGGTTTGGCGTGAGGGTAGATCCGTGTAGATGCGATACCAGGCATGAAAGTCCATCTCTAACGCCAACAGCGCCACCTCGCAGGCCAACGCGTCGGCAACGCCATCACCGCAGACCTGTGAAAGAAGCACCGGAAGGTGCTGCAACAAGGCACGCGCCTTCGGTCCCGCCTGCGCCGAAAGCTTCGATGCGATTGCGTCGGTGTTGAACAAAATCGTGCCGTGGCCGTTTGCCTCAAAGTACACACCAATGTCACGTGCGTGGGCAATGGGATGTAGGTTTTTCACGCCCGTGGGAGTGCTGTACGCGCGGAGTCCAAGACTGTGCTGTAAATAGTCCGTTGAAGCCCCGTTGGCGTAGGCCGTCTGCACCACCCCCACGTCGAGGAGCTGAAGCGCCGTCGGCCCAAGGCACCTCTGCAGCAGCATGGCGTAAAGAATGGCCATACGATCGCCGTCTAACAAATGCCACGCCTTGTCCCCACTGCAATCGTGAAGGAACGCGACCACACGATCCGCATCACCGTCGAGCGAGTAATAATGAACCTCCTCCCGCTCCTCTGGAGCTTCCTTTCCCTGCCGTCGCTCATGCGCCGCAGCCCACTTCTTCATTTCCTCCGATGGGAAACGGTTCCGCTGCGTAAAGTCGGCGCCGCACATATGATTAAGAGCTTCCGCGTATTCCACGTCGTCATGAAGTACGACAATGTCAAAAAACTCCTCCAAGGGATTCTGTGGGTACATTTGCTGCGCCGTTGCAAGCAAACCTTTGACGGCAATGGCACCTACACCATTCGCCGCATCCAATACAACTTTCTGGCGTCTCCGTTGCCGTTGCATATTCGCTGTTGGCGGTGCCACGGCGTGCAACAATGCCCCCAGCGAGGAGAGTAGCTCCTGCATGTAGAGTGCTGGTCCAAAGTCGGAAATGTTTGAAACCTCCGCCACTGTTGATGGTCGATTGGCCCGCATCACCAAATAATGCAGCTGCGGAGTTGCTATGACGCCATAATCCCTGCAGGGCACGTGTAACAACTGTAGCGATGTCTGCACAGCAGCGAGAACGTCCTTCCCAGACGGACGCGTGTCACGTGCAATGTGCACCACAGAAAAGGGGCAGCGAAGCACGAGATCATCCATGGAGGCAGGTGTAGGAATATTGCTGCTAACTGTCCATTTCTCCAAAACTTCAATGAGCTCCTCCGCAGTGGCGGCGTTGGCGGCAGCTGTGCAGACCTTCTCCCAGGAGATTGCCAACATGCCACCATCAACGTCGATCAGCTTCAAGCCATTTTCCGGGGCGGGGTTATGCGAGGCTGTCACCATGCAGCCAACAGAACAGCCAGCAGGCGCCGTGCGGTTAGAAACGGCCCAGCAGACCCGCAGCACCGCCACAAATGTGAGACGGGCCGCCACAGGGGGCAACAGAACCCCCAAAGTACGAAACCCGGCCGTCCCGTACGCCAACGGCGCAGTGAGCACGTCATGTCTCAGCGGAAACTTCGCGACGCATTCCCGCACCGCCTGTGCAAACGATGAATGTAAAGTCATGTCTTTGGTATTTCCCCCTTTTCCACCTTTGTGCTAGATGCAATCGGCAACCACAATGGTCAAAGCTGAAAAAATAATAAATTTAAAAAAAAAGGAGGAATAAAATGAGAGGACATAAAAATAGAAAAAAGACCGTAATAGACAAACACACAGAAGAATAATGGCAATGTGGCCTCACGTTTCCCGTGCAGGCATCATTAAATGGCGTCATGTACTCACTCTCTTCCTCTCCATTGCCCTCCTCCTTCTTCTTTGCTTTCATTCTTGCGGCCTTTTATATCTGCTTCTTATTCCTACCTTTTCGCTCCTTGTCGTCGTTGCTGCTTCGGAAAGACGCGTTCGTGCCGTAGATGTCCGTGCGGCCTGCCCGGCAGGCGCAGGCCTCGGCCAGTGATGCAAAGAAAAAAAACACACACTCACCCACGCGGAGAACCAAACACAACGGTGTACAAAGAGGGGAGGATGAGTGAGGCGGCAAAAACAGTCGTCACAACAACACAGACGCCGGAATTCGTGAGTTCCCCTCAACAAACACATACAGACACAAACGAACAACAAAAAAGTCTACGCCTCTCCCTACCCATCCCGACACACACACACACACACAGAGGAGGGCGACATTCCGTGGTCGGTGATCAACTACATTGAAATGAAGAGGAAAAGAGAAGTGATGGAAAGAAGAAATTGAGGTAAACTGCAACACGTTTACTTGCAGGGTGAAATGGAGTGGAGCGGGAAGTTAATTGCATCCTACCTTCTAGTCAATGGGATACGCGTGAGTTCTCTGCATCGCGGTGAGAGAGAGAAAGAGATGACGGCGCAAGGCACTGCGGAGAGACGTGGGTGCCACTCAGGAAAAGAATGTGGTAACCATGAAACAGAAATCATACGCAACACATGTCATGTTAGACTTTACCCCGTCCCCCATTCGCTCCTGTTTTGGCACGCTTGCCCCTCCTTTTTTTTCCTTTTTGTTTTTTTTTCTTTTTTTCGTTTTCTGGCATTATCCGGTTTGTTTCATCGTTTTCGGCCCTCACCTTATTCACGTTTCCCTCGCTGGTTGCTGTTAGTGTTGTGGGGTTCGTCACGCCATTTTTCTGCACGGCCAGTGGCGCGGTGCTGCGTGGAGGCGCCACCCACCCACCCCCTCCCGCTCCTCCTCCTCCTCCCAAAGAGGTGGTACGGCACGACAGCGACCACAACATCAGCAGGGAAAAGAAGAAGTCGCAAAAACACACCACCACAAAATGGCGACAGCGACACACACGCACAACAGCAAACAAATAAACAGTAATAATTGTTAAAATGAGCAGATCAGAGATAAACTGCAGTGGGAAATTACCAGCCGCGGTAAGAATGCACCGGTGCAAAGGGGGTAAAAATCCCCCAGTCCCTTGCTAGTTGGCACCTAACCACACAAACAGACGCATGCACGCATACACATACACTTTTAATTCCAATCCGTTTTCAGTCTTGCTGATTTATGCTTTGTTCCTTTAATTTCAACGTGAGCCTCTAAGCGGTGTAGGAAAGGCAATCCCTAAGTGCCGTGGTCAGACTAACGCGCCCCACCACGTTGCATTGCACCATGAAGCGTCTGTTGTGCCGGTGGCAAATCTGAATTGTTTCGTGAGTTCCTGCCACCCATCGAAGAATGCTGATCAAGCTGCTGCGCAAGAAGCGGCGGAGGCGGTGGTGGTGGTGGAACTGAAATAGAGGCGGATGCTGCAGCTGCAGGAACAAGCGGGGTTGGAACAATGTTCAGGCTGCCAACACGATTCTGGTCAAGTCTGGCACAGAAGGTTCGAGGATCATTGAGGTACTCCGTAGGGCACAGCGTCATGGGGATGCAAAGATATGTCTCACTCATGGTATTGATGGGATCTCGATTGCTGGTGGAAGCCACAGCCTCGTAACCCGTGACAGGCGCCACCGCCCCACTGGGAGGCGCCGAGGCATGCAGTTGTGTTGACAGCGGTGGTAAACGGGAAGCTCCCACGGCTATAGAAGGCAGCCGTGAACTGCCGCCGGTGGGGTCGTGTCGTGGTGAAGAAAAGCGACGGTAACCGCCTCGCCTTGGCGCCATAGAGGACGAGGAAGTCGAAGAGAGAGAACGAGAACGAGAACGAGAACGAGATCGGCGGCGACGGCGAACGGGGCCCACATCATTCATGTGGCCACGTCTATCAGGGCGGGTGATTTCATGTGGGCCTCGACTACGTGCCTGTTCCACAGTTAGGAGAACGCCCTTTAGCACATGTGCGTCCTGTCGCATTAGAGACAATGATGGGGCTCGGTACGTCACCCATCCGTACCCCCGCGAATTGCCTGCGGAATCACGTTTCAGTGTAAACGTTTCAAAGTCACCAAAACCCTCAAAGTAGCGTTCAAGGTCTTGTTGCGTGATATGACGTTGAATGCCTCCAACAAAGTATCGATAGCCCTTGCTTAAATTGGAGGCGTCCTCCGCCGAAGCAGCCGTTGGATCCAAGTTGCGCATTGGTGACCGCATTATCCCCTGCCGAGACCTTTCGATGGTTAACTAGTGAGCGTTGTTGTACTTCCCGCGTGTGTGGTTTGACGATGGCAATGACGGAGCCCGCACGGAGTGAAATCAAGAAGGCAGACGCGGGAGAAAAGACTCGGGGAGGTTCCAGTGGGGAAGTGCGTGCGTGTGTCTACGGGCAAACACTCGTAATCTACTCAGCCTGCAAAAAGAAGTCTCTGGCGCACAGAATGCGTTAACGGTGCTTGGTGAAGTGGCTTCGCGGAGGCTGCTACCTTTAATGCTGCTTACAAGCGTGGCAGAGACAACGGCGGTGAAGCGGGAGTGAGAAGGCATCGAGGGCAGAAGAGGGGGGGAGGGGCGACGTCAACTCAGGCAGGTGCCACATTGTGCCACACCACGGCGTGCGAAAAAAGCAAAAAAAAAACACACACACACAGGCGGGTGCAGAGGGGGAAAAAAGTGAAATCCACAACAAACGACTCCATCAACAAAATTACAATAAAATATAAATAATAATAATATAATAATAATAATAACAGATCGGGTGTTGGAAGACCATCCAGAAATACAAAAAAGAAAAAGAAAAGTAAGTACCCCAAATTCACAAACACGTAGAACAAAATCAAAATGAACGCATTCAATACACTCGTTTTCTGTTCTTTTTGGTTTATTGACTTTGCACCGACAGCACCGGACGGCATCCCCCTCCCTCGTAGATGTGCGCAACACACTCACGCAATGACGCTCCCTATCACTGTCCCTGGCGTGTAGCTTTCATTAAGGTCCCGCTCGTGCACCAAACTCGAACGACCCCGTGCTGTCCCTCCCAGCGCACACGGGGATGGACTGCTTACCGCCCCGCACTCCACCTGTTGCTCGCCCTTTGGGTCCTTCATCACAACGCTGGAAACGGCCCCACACCCTTAGCAGTGGGATCACGAATGTGACGCACAGCCCAAGCCTTGCTCACAAGATGCACAAGCGACGACTGTGAATTTTGCAGACGCTCCAACTCCTGGATAATCGTGCGGAGTCATGGCCACGCCAGAGAACTGTTCCTTCCCGTGGTGCGCACGTGGTCGGCTGTGCCCTCCATGTAGACCGAGTCGCGATAAGTCAACACCGAAGCGTGTCATTGCCCAATCCAGGCTTGACCCTAACATCCGCGAGGGCTCTTCCACAAGTGGTGACACCGGCCCCGCCTCGCCGCCGCCGTGGTAGCTTTTGTTTCTGTCACGAATAAACTGCGAGACGCTGTCCAGTAGACCAGCGTCTGTCTATTCACCCCTGCGTGGGTGTACCTGATGCCGTTCGAGGCCTTCGTGCCGTTGCCACCAGAAAAGGCTGGCTTCTCCAGCAGTAGGACTGCGCCGCCGTGCTCCAGCACGGCTGTGCGCTAAGCAGGCACCCGCCGAACCCCCTCTGACCACAATCACCCGGTTTCCTCCGGTGACCAGCGCAGTCATATTTTCCAGGAAATGCACGCCCACACACCTTTTTAAATCCACCTCGTTCGAGCTCTTCGGAGCTGCGCCAGCGCTCCTCTCATTGCCCATCCGGTGCCTTGTTGCACCCCTCCCCCCTCTTCCTGGTCTTGTTTGTGTGCCCTGCAGCCAGCAAGGCACGATCAACACAAGTGGAGGCTGAAAAGAAAAAGAAAGCCAAACCACACACAACAAAAAAAAACAACACAACATATATATATATATATATAACGCGAGCACCACGATTGCTGTGGTAGCCACAGGAAAGAGGGGAAGTAAAGATTTCACGCGCGCTGCTGCCGTTCAACGTAGCCGCGGTGTTCACGCGACACAAACAAGGACGCGTGGGCAGAGACCCAAACAAGACGGTAAGGACGGGGACAATGTGCCTCCATGCACACAAAAAATAATAATAACTCAATGCGACAAAGGCAACATCAAACTGAATTATACCTCTCCCTCTCCTTCACTCTTTCTCTAATATTCCCCTTCTT